TTTTTAACGTGCTTCATTTTCAAATAAAAAAAATTGAATTTTAATTTTTAATAAATCATAATATTAAATTTTTGTAATAATTAAAAAAATAATTTAACTAATTTTGCATGTAAAATATAATATGAAGATTTAAAAATAAAAACACTAATAWATGTCATAGTTATTAAAATATTAAAAGATGTCACTATAATATTTTGTAGGTACCTATTTCACACGTGTTAATACAGAATGCTACCCATCATGCATTTGTTGTCCCTCTGTTACAAACGTAGGACATAACAATTTCTCATTCATTAGTTTCAATACCTAGTGTACTGTAAGTTTTGACATTAGATTAAATTGATCTTCATCAATGTTTTAGGTAAGAACATTATCTATAGTTAAGCGTCGGTGATTTTTATACTTTCATCTTCAATACGTCAAGTCCTATGGATATGTGAAATAACAAAAATTAAATCTCGTTTGAAAATTAAAATATTTAATAAAAGTTTATTACTCTTGCTAACATTATAGCAGATTGAGTGACAAACAACAATATTATTCCAGTTTATTTAAAAATAGATAATTATATGYAGTTCTTCTAAAATATGTTGGTATTTTTAAATAGTTGTGATCAATACATTATTTGCTATCGATTTACAAGGTGTATCTACTTGAGTGTGTAACAAAATGTATAAAACCAAATAGGTATGTGACAAATTAACAACTAATAACTTTCAATTAGCATTTTAAATGTAATTGAATATTATAAACATAATAAATTTCAATAGTTAGGTATACTTATAGATGAATAAATTTGATATTAATCATGACAMAATTTATCGATTTAAAAACTATAATATGTAATTATAGACTATAGTAAGTTACAGCATTTACCAGCTCTTTTTGTTATACTCTATATTTGTATTTTTAAAGCTCTATATTCAACAGAATTTGCATTTTGAATGATTTAATTACAACTACTCAGGGGCGTATTCAGTTCTTCTTCCAGGGGGGGGGGGCGAAATTTGAACTCAAATCATAGGTTCTTATAAAAAAATTTGTACATAAAACGACAGTGTACCTACAGATTATAAATAAATTGGTGGATCAAAATTTTTCGATCGTTTCGCTTGCTTTAACTTCAATAAATGATTTCTACCCACTTTCATAACCCATAACATAGTATTATACTAATGTCTAATAAGGTTGCAGAGTGCGGACCATTAAAAAAAAAATAAATACTATAATCTTGTAAGTTGTAGACGATCACAATTAATAATTATTATAGACACACTGCCACAGATACAACAACAATAATAATTATTGTATATATCTGTGATTATAGCCACGATATCTCTAATCTTTTGATTTTAATSAGTSTTATTTTCATTCTTAATTGATAACAGGTTTTTGATAACCATTATCCATTTATTCCATTTCCATTAAGAAAAAATATGCACTGTATTTTTAATTTTTTAATATAATATTATATAATAAAATATGTAAGCACCTATACATGAAACACATTCAACAATGTCCAGGGGTGGGGGCGATCACCCCTATCGCCCCCCGTTGTATACGCCCCTGCAACTGCTGAACTACCTATACCTTTATTAAGAAACAATTAAAAATTATTAATTTTCTTACTACTAAACGAAAAATATATTTATAAATGTATTCAGTGTACAAAATTATCTATCCGTCGACTATAATAGGTATGTATGTCTTAATTTTAAAATAATGCGATTCATTGTAGACCAAATAACTTCATAATATTACGGTTAATATGGTTAAAATTATTTTTCAAGATGAGTGCACCAAACTAGTTGAGTAATAATCAATAATTAATATACTCAGTTTGATTTTGTAAGATGA